TTAGATTTGTTCATTTCATGGTGATATCTTCAATTATCTAATTTTGATGAATATTTTTGTCATTTTTGGTAAAAAGTGATATTTTCGAATTCTTGTTGAAAAACAGCAAGTCTGATTGCTTTGATACTATACATATTGTTCATTTTCTAATGATATCTTCAGTTCTTTAATTGAAAATTGCATTGCTCACAGCAGAGCTATCTCAGCGGAGAAGCTGCATGTTTCTTCAATATTTCAGTAAATGATCCCTAAAAAAGTGGGAACTGGTGGTGAAAAGGTTACCAGGGGGTAAAATACACAATATTGGTGCAAACATATATTATTGTTCGATACTCTGTACTGTACATCAAATACAATTATAATTCATCAGTAACATGAAATGATGCATTTGCAAGACACACAACAGTAATCGTTGAAATAAAAAATAAAAACCACAAATACGCTTGCACAGTGACTGTTATTGTACCTACATATCAAAGCGGTGCATACAAGTATTTGAGAATTTAACTTATGCTCGCATTTTTTTTTATCATTGCAGAATAATTGGGACAGAATTGACACAGGCAGAGGAGATATCCCAATCACAACCCCAGCAACTAGAGAGGATTTGATGATGGTGTTAGAAAACATTGATACTTTTATGATTAGAGCCTCATATCAACCTCTCATGACATATACAAGGTAAGATTCACTGCAACTTTAGTTTATTTACGCAGATTTTTCACTTTTTATTGATTTGTAGCGATAAAACACTGTCTTAGTGCTACAGGATTCTCACAAACTGCAAGACCTAGGGTGAGAGCAGTCAGTGCTCCTTTCCATCCAGCTATATTCCTAGCCATTGTTCACTGCCGATGTTTGTCTGCTTCGTTATTTGCAATACATAAAAAGAACAATCTTTTCTTTTCACTTTCAACTTTTGAACAAATAACAAATTTATTTGTCTGGTCTTACCTTTGAGAAGTCACATATGTCATATCGGCAACACCTTTACCAGATTAATTTCTTCAAAGTGGTGAAGATCTACTCTGCTGCATACTGAAAATGAGCACTATAAGTTTTAGGGAATACAATGCAAAAATGCACATGAATTATTTCTCTGATCTGTATTAAGTATTAAGCGGACTTTACTGCCTCACAGAACAAAGTCAAAATAATCTTGTCAAATTCTGCTGCTGTTGCTATGACATATGATTCAAGCTTCATCTAGTTTGTCAAAATTTCTATCACGCGAGAGAACAGAAAATACTCTTCCCTCAATATCAATAAGAAATAAAAACAGCAGTGTTCTTTAATTATGTGCATGAGGGCGCTGTTGCTATTTTTTTTAATTTTATTATTTAGTATAAGCGATATTTCATTGGATTTCGCTGTGCCAAGACCAACCGGACAAGAGAGAGCAGTTCTGGTAGAAGATTGTACGTGTCCTCTAGGATATAGTGGATTATCATGTGAGGTAAGGACACACCATTGTACAATTCTCAATATTTGTTCACACTGGCTGAATTTGGTGTTGCGTTATTTTGCTTGAAAAGTTTTGTGAAAATGCAGGCAAGATAATAATTTGCCAATTATGTCTGCTTCGTTGTGTATTTTATGTTCTTCTCGGGATACACACAGCATGGCAGTACTACTGCAGTACCTTGTTTTACCACCACATTGGCATGAACATCGCTATAGTCATTGTTCTGACTGCCACGGTGGTTTATTTCCACTCTGCCATTGCTGACTTTTTTGAATGAAATCAATTTCATGAATTGCTGAAAACTCATATGTAGGCGTATCACTCTTGCAATAGGAGTTTTGTTAGTGAATAATTGTGTACGTTGTGTGTTTTAACGAGGATGTGAATCGCAATTTACATGGAATAATTATGCAAAATAATATGCAAATGTTATGCAATTTAGTATGTATACTGTTACTGCCTCATTTAAAATTTCTAGTGAGAAAATTAGTATTGTTCTTAGATATAGCACAAATTTTTTTCATTGCTTGCTTTCGTATTTATGCTTTATGCAACATTTTTTTCCCATGATTCAATGCATCTTTTTGTTGCTCAAACCAAGGTAGGATTTAAACTTAGATCAACCAATCATGAGATGGATACATCCACCATTACACTACTAAAGACCTTCCATCGTTGTCTGTAGTACTTCATGGTTTAGTGTTCTTTCTGTTGACTTATAGGATTGTGCTATTGGATACAGAAGAGTCGAAAACAACCAATACCTCGGAACATGCGTAGAATGTAATTGTAATGGACATGCTAGTCAATGTGATCAAGATACAGGAGTCTGTAGAGTGAGTATCACCACACAATTGTCACCATGGTTACCAGTGTGATGTCTAATTTTTTAGAATATTACAATTATACTCTGAGAGTATTCAGAGAATACTTAATCAGAGTCTTGGAGCAAGTATGCTAAATATTAATGGCCTGAATGTTGGTGTATTGGAACAAATTATGATTTCCTTTATTCTGCCTTGTTTTAGAAATACTCTGTGTTGTGGAACAGAAGCAAATATTTCATGTTCATTAGAAGTAATATTTTTCACAGAATAATAACAACATATTTGAAAAAAAAAACGATGGAAAGCAGTTGTGCTTCTAATCTAGCTTAGACGTATTTATTACTTGAAAACCTGTTAGAACTTAGTGCCATATATTGATTTGATCTAATTTTATTTTCTGTAGGGTTGCCGTGATAACACTGTTGGGGCATTCTGTGATACATGCGCTAATGGTTACTATGGCAATGCTATAACTGGTCAATGTCTGCCATGTCCATGTCCATTAACAACACCAGAAAATCAGTGAGTATCTGTTTTCTTCTATCAGTGTGTGTATTAATGTGATACTTACTGTTTTCCAAACATTTTGTAATGAACTGAAGTCAAAAAATCAAAACAAGCAACAAGGGAATCCATAACTTATGTAACAGTGGCTGCTGATCAGCACAAATGAATTTTATTCAAGCCATTTATCATATACTTTGTTTTATAAGTTATGTAAAAAATGCAATTTATCATTGTCATAGTTACTGTACTCTGTTCAATTTTTCATAAATGAAGAAAGTTTTTATGGCATTCATGAAAGCAAAATTTTGCATCAGAAATTGTCACAATTTTCATTGACTTGTGAGATTTGTGAAAATTTACAGGATTTGGAACACCTCTGAAAGTTGAATATACAAAGCCAACTATTTATTATTTTGTATTTTGTTAAGGTTTTCTCCAACTTGTTACATGGATGCAGATAATCTCCCAACTTGTGACTCCTGCCCTGTTGGCTACACTGGAAGAAATTGTGAAAGGTGAGTATGTAACCATGGATTCTTTGTTGCTAGGCAACAGCATACTCCATCTACATCAAATGAGCTTGATACATGTACATTATTATTCTCATGTTGATAGGTGTGCTCCTGGGTTTGAAGGCAATCCAAGTCAGCCTGGCGATAGTTGTGTAATCAGTTCAGGTATTTAATGTTTTTGATAAATTCTATTATTAAGTGTTGACTGATTGCTTGTTAGTTCCTGTTTCCGTCTGTGACATCTCTAACATTTTCTCAGATATTCTGCAGCAGATATCAGTGAAACTTGGGAGGTTGATGAACAAGTCTCTGCCGAGTATGCACGTAATTTTTTTTTCCAGATCTGAAAATCCTAAGTGGGTCTTTTTCAAGATTTTCATTCAAAATTACCTCTCCCTACTGCACTGACAGAGCAACTGAGCATGCTCAGAATAAATAATTAGCTTAGATTGTAATGCTAGGGTTTTTAGTGATGTCATAACCTTGATCTGAATCAGTGACAGATGGGTCATACCATTACCAATCTCAGTGGAAAATGTTGAGGGGTGTCAGGGTTACATTTTGATGGGAATTATAGTGGTGCATGATAATGAAACAAACCCAGGTCCTGGTAATATACAAAGACCTGAATTAACAAAGAAGTCAAGTTGTAATTAAAGGTACAACAAGGTTTACTCAGATTTATGAATGCTGTTTCTTGACCATGTATGAGACATACTTTAGTTGTACTTGTGTACTCTGAGATTTTGGACCTGGGTCAATGAAAGTTTTCAGTTATCAGATTAAGGGAAATCACTTTATAATGAGTTGTACCCACATAGAGTACATATTAATTCAATTGTTTGCTAATGTTCCATGTATTATTTTAACATAAGTATTTTATAATTAAATAACGGAGACTGTGACATTCGTGTCTTGTTTCTTGCTGTTTATTATGCACCAAACCAATCACCTGCATATTTGCTATGCCTTGCTTATAAACAAACTTGGCCAAAAACTGTTGTCTTATCTCCATTATGTATTTGGCTTGCCTGTAATGAATTAATGGGAAAATCATAGTAGTGGCAAAATGCCTGTCGTCCAGTGTCGTTATCGTCGTTAACTTCTCTTGTTTTTGATTCAATTGATCAGAAAGAACTTTGTGCAGAACAGAATCATCATCACATGTTACATTACATACATCACATACCCTTATGGATTTGTTGGTATACATAAGCCTGATATCTACACAATAGAAATTACCTTTAGCAAAGTTACATATTGTCATTAAATAAATGTGTTTCTAATTTTTCAATGACATATTGATTTGCTGTTATTATATTTAGTACTCCTTTATGCTGAGTAGATGCAAAGCCTTTGATGAGGAAATCAGTATAATTAAACCTAAAGTCAGTATGTAGTTGTAATTTCATTTATCGTTTTTTTCAGGTGGAGTTGTCAACTGTGATGAAAGAGGAGGTGATAATCTTTATGACGGTCGCTGTCAATGCAAGGTATGTAAGACTGCTGAGATTCTTGTTGCTGCTACCAGAGTGCATCACATTTTTAACAATTTTCTTGAAAGAGTAATTAAATTTACTGTTATTTTTGTTTATCATGCTGCATTGTTGGATTAAAGCAGGTAGTCTACTTCAAACTAATGTACATATATTTACACTGTAAACAGCTTAATTTTCACTGCTAGTAAGGTTTGTGCGTCGTTGGACCCAAGACAAATTTTACAATTTTTCTCTTGACCTTTCTCTTGATGAATGGTTGACCTTAATCATGGTTGTTCTGACCATGGTCATGGATGTTCAAGCATGGTTGTCTCTAAGGTCATGCACTATTGGAATTGGCAGTTGACCATGGTAGTTTATGGTTGACAATTAAATACCATGGTTGTCAAGTCTCCAGGGTGTATCATTGTGTTCGTATATTTCAGGGTAATACATTTGGGGAATCATGTGACCAGTGTCAACCCAATACCTTCTATCTATCATCTGACAACCCGGATGGATGCATATCTTGTTTCTGTATGGGTATCACCAACCAGTGTCAGAGTACATCACAAAACAGAGCACAGGTAAAAAGATTTCAGTTATCATATCATAGAACGTTCCACGTTGCTAAGACGCGCAACACTGTACCACGCATTTCTATGGGCTCTGTGCGCGCTGCTGTGGAACGTCGGTCGAATAGCCGGTGAAAATAGCTAAAGTCAAGGAAAGAGCACATACTCAACTT